TTGTTGTCTTGATTACGTTTGGGCGCCCTGCCTCCCCCCCCCCCCGCCTCCTTCCTCCCTCCTCCTCCTCCTCACCCCCACCCCTCTGCCCCATAACGTGAGCGCCGCGCGCAGCACATCGCATCACGTCGCGTAAGTTCTTGATTCTGTTGGCGGTAATTTAAAGCCTTTATGGAATTGCAATTTCAGGGCTCAGTGCTTGTTTTTCTAAAATGTACTCAAGGAATTAGCTCCTCCAGCCACAAATCAGTTGAATTTATGCACAGTTGTAATACACTTTATGGCCTCATGGTACATTGCTTCAAAAACAGCAGATGTGAAATTATGATAAATATAATGAGAGGGTTTTTTTTTTCTTCTTTCTTTTGCTCATTCCTTCTCTCTCACTTTCTCCTGTGTGAGAGAGAAGGATGTGAAGCGTGTTTACTTACTAACCCCCCCCCTCCCCCCTCCTCCCCCCATACAATACATTTAATGTCTTGGTAAGGGCCGCCAACAAAACCTGATTAATGTCCTCATCTCTTTTATTAAAGATAACAGTGGCACTGCAGTCAGGAGATAGAGAACCAGCCATAAATCTCAGGCAAAATGAGCAGTCAAATAATCACTCATCAGAAATGAAATCTACATACATTATAGCAGTCGCCGACTCTCTGCTGTGAATATAAACACAGGGCCGAGAGCAGTGGAGCCAGAACCATTTATCCACCCATTCCTGGGTTTTAGGGGGAGGTAGAGGTGTCTGGACAGGCTAGTGATGTCTAACAGGATCCTGTCCCGTGTTCAGGATCAGGCCACCAGGAGAAGTTAGGTGGGGGGGGGGGGGGGGGGGGGGGGGGGGGGGGGGGGGGGGGGGGGGGGGGGGGGGGGGGGGGGGGGGGGGGGGGGGGGGGGGGGGGGGGGGGGGGGGGGGGGGGGGGGGGGGGGGGGGGGGGGGGGGGGGGGGGGGGGGGGGGGGGGGGGGGGGGGGGGGGGGGGGGGGGGGGGGGGGGGGGGGGGGGGGGGGGGGGGGGGGGGGGGGGGGGGGGGGGGGGGGGGGGGGGGGGGGGGGGGGGGGGGGGGGGGGGGGGGGGGGGAGCATGCACATGCAGCATCATTAGGGCCAATGGATGAGCCAATTAAACCTGGCCCTGAAAAGGACTTAATGTGGATCCGTCCCTGCGATTAATCAAGGCTCGCATTAGACAGTGATGGGCGACCTTGTGCCTTTGTGACAAACTGATTCTTCATCCTGTGTTTGGGGGATTGGGATACTGAGGTCCCTAATGCGCCTCGGAGGCGCCCCGATGAAACCCTGTCATTTATTCTGTTCCTGTCCCTGACAGCTATCAACCTGTCTTCTGCCAGTGCAGGAACATTATCTGAAAACTCCCAGGGCGGTGAGCGACAGGGATGGAGCGCACGAGCCGCGGCGGCGGCAGACACGCAGATATGTAAAGCAGCGATAATGCTGTCTTGTCCTTAGGTGGCGATCTTAGGAGGTGAATACACACATCTGTGGCAGACACAAATACTGTGTGAGAGATTGATATTTGTTTACGGCAGATAATCGGAGCTATTTCAGCCAATCAGTGCGAGTTTTGCTTTTCAAGCATGGCTGCCGTAAAAACCAAAAGTGAGAGAGGTTTAGAAGAAGATCTTTGTGTGATTTTTGTCTTTCTTCAATTCCTGTGAGTATATAAGGGTTTTGTTCAACTAAACAGGCCCAGGTTTCACCAATGTAGACTGTGAGTAACTTATGAAGTAGAGGAGAAGTAAAGGAGGAGATCATTACATTTCTTTACATATATGTTTGGTGGAGCGCTGTGGGATTTCTCCATGTAAAATACAATATACGCCGCAGTCAGTTTGCTATAGAAAATTGATCTTATTAAATGCAGTCAAACTTTTTAATTGAATGTCCTGGTGTCATTGTGTTACATTGAAAAGCCAGGCATTTTAACAAGGATGTGTAGACATTTCTTTTCTTTTTAACACCAGTGCACGCTGCTGTTCAGTCATTCCTAACATTCATGCATGAAGCCGTACACAAACACACTGTTATGCAGTTGCCACAAATAGAGCCACATGTCAGTTGACTCACATCAGAGGATCCTCCCTG